AACACTTTTACAACGCTAAATTTAATTAGCCACATACTATACGAAAGGTTTAAGCTAAGTAGATTAGCATTAGGACCAATCATAATCTAGCACCTTTATTGCTATTACTAAAGCACCAAATGCTTAAGTTTTCAACACCTAAAGGTGCAGCCACCAAGTGGCCGAAAGTGCCTAATTAAGCACTCTACCTAGTGCTTGATAGCACTGTTACAGTGTTTTAATTTGCAGTTCCAAGTGCCAAATTAAATTACACTTTCCATTAGTGCTACAAAAGCACTATTCACCAAAACACAATTTGTCTCAAATTAAATATACTAGTATAATTTGGAATTTTTGATCAAGTTAATTATAACACAATTAACGAGAACAAATCAACCAAATTTTCCAACTAGTTGAATCAAACTCATATAATCGTTCTTAGAATAATATTTAAAATATTCAACACTTGAGCTGTGACGCTCTCGATTATATAGTTATTCCAATTTTTGACAAATTGATCCTTGAAATCCGTATCGTTCTACATGAACCTGAACCGAAGTTCGTTACGGGATTTCAACATGTAACACGCTTGTTACATTTCATTTCGGCCGTTAAGCCATTTTAGCATTTTCCACATAATGCCCCGTGATGCACTACGCACCCATATTGTATCATTTCATACATTTGACATTATTCTAGTTAATAATTCGTATGTACCAAGATTCAAATCATTGGAACGATTATATTTTTATTCAAATAAAAATATTCCAAGGATACTACAACATTTATTCAAAATAAATAAATAGGAAAATACATTGGAAACACATTTCCTTATTCCTATCTCGTAGTGATCCTTCAAACCCGTGTGCCTTGTTCCATTCTCAACCGTCCACTCCACAAATGGTGGTCCATAGCGCACACCGGGGGTACCTATGGTTGTGACCTCACTCGTCCAACCATCCACATATTTTAAACATAGTGAAGTTGTCCTCAACCTTCTCACCAGGATGACGGTTCGCTTCATAGTGGCATTTTTCCTTCTTCTCATAATCTTCTTGAAAGTTAAGCTTCCGCTTGCCTTTCCTTTGATTATTGTTGAAGACATTGGTCACACTACAATAGTCCTCAGACCATGTAGTGATCACAGCATCATAGGATCCTTCGTGGCTTTTAGCCGATCCACTAGGCAACACAATAGGTACCAATTGTGTGTCACGAGCCACAGGTCTACCGGTTCGTGAACCAACGTTCTCCGGAGCACCATCGTGTGTTTTTGCAACTCCTATGAAAATATCATTTCCAACGTTGCTGCCATCAACTGGCATCACGGAACGTGCAACATCGTTGTCGTTCCGACCATTTGAATGTGCACCTCCGGCAACATTCACGGATCCAATACTCTTGGAATCCAACGATTTGTTCATTATCAAAATTAAATAAGGTTTTAAGATTGTTGGAGATAATGAACCACAATCGATTTAATATCCCTTAAAATAATATTTATATATATACACACGAAATATATATAAAATATTATTGGATATATATATATCCGAAATATATATATACACACAAATATATATAAAACGGATCCAAAGGTTATATATACGTATATATCTACGAGAAAGATATAACAATATATATCAACCAAAATGAACTTATAATCCTCATATTATAACTCCAAATCAACAAGAAAGAACGGATTTTTGCTTAGAGCATAATCCTAAAACAAGAAAGAAGGAGAAGAAGAAGGAAATGTACGAGTTAGGCAAGGTGCCTGTCTTTCCTTAAAACCTTATTTGCCACCTCCCAAAAGTGCTAGGAGCGTTGTGGCCTAGGTTTCCCAGGATAAAACGTACAACGGTTCGACGTTTGAGCACCCAAACGAACGAACCCGGCGAACAAGAGCACGGGCAAAACACAGCTTCAATAATGGAGTAGGAGCAGAATTTTTGAGAAGAAAAAGTGCTTATCTTTGTGTGTTGTGTACTCTCGTGTTCTTCCCTCACTAGTTGTCTCTCACTATGCATGAGAAAAGCCTCTACTCCCACTACACTCTTATATAGGAGGTTGGTACTTAATAGCATTATTATGACACATTAACCAACATAAATTCAATTTAAAAATTGAATTATAACGTTTGAAACGGTCGTACTTATTATCGAAATAATATCAACGGTCACGAACTTAATATCCGATTAATTCGTACCGACCATAACGTCCCGTTTCAAATATCTGAGTGACCGAGAAGTCCGTACAAACCCGAAAAGTTAACGAATTAGGACCGAAAACCACACCCAAATGGTCCGCAAAGTACCGAAACGGTGTGGCACGAATCAATGCACATAGCATTGACTCGTGCAGCACGAAAGATAGCTCACACGAAAGGAGCTTAATTCACTAATTAAACTTGCTTAATTACATGTAGCATCTTTCGTCCATGCATAACATTCGTCCATGCAAACTTTCGTCCCAATTCCTATTTCACTATTTTAAGCTTTCCAAAGCTTAATCACAAGCTTGACAACTCATGTTGTCACACTAATTAAGCTTAATTAAGCTTAATTTTAAGCTTTAAGCTTTCTAAGCTTAATTTGACTTCTCTCAAATAGGTTCACTTTGAGAATCAATTTCTCATTCACCTATTACCCATTTTGAGCGTACATTATATCAAATTCTTCGTCTCACTACGAAGAACCCGAATCCACCTTGACCCGACCCAAATCGGAAGGGATCCCACATATATTTGTACCATAAAATAATCACTCAAAATATCATTTTAATGCTATTTTTTTCAACAAGTTGAACTTTAAACACTTCTAAAAGGTGCTAATGATCTTGTGGTTAGTAAAAGAAAAACTTCATTTAGTATTGACTCTATGTGCATTGAAATTTCATTAGTATTGACTCTTTGTGCATTGTTTAACTAAGAGACCATTAAAATGTGTTCGGATTTTACATGCATGGATTGCATACAATAGCTATTTGTTAGAGGGAGGGGCAACTTGTTCATGAAATTCAACTTAGGGCATCCTCAATAGTGTAAAATTTTGAGGAGATTTTACAGGTATGATTAGGAAAAAGAAAATGGAAGGGGAGGGGATAAAAAGAAAAAAAAAACTAAAATTTCAAAATTAAAAAAAAAAAACAAAAAAACATATATTTACGAGCCAAGACTGGCGCGAGAGTCCTTTGTTGGGGGACCCACCCCACTGCCAAAGTCCTTTTTTTTTGCAGGAAGAAAATTTTCAGAAAATTTTGCCTTCCCATTTGTCCTTATTTTACTCAAAGAAATTTTACTGTTCCAAAATGTGGTGATGCACTCCCTATTGGGGATGCCCTTATTGTTATTTTCAAGAAATTTTCTTGAAAATACATGTATCCTCAAGCATTCTCATGTTGTATGTGCTTATTGTTATTACAATAGTTAATATCCTCATATTTTTTGACAATTGCTACATGTTAAACTCCACCAAACAAGTGGCTTCACAAGGTTATCAACAACCTATATATAGCTACTCAAGGGCTTGGTGTCAACATGAGTCAAACCATTTTTCAAGAGGGAAAAACACCAATGTGTACGTCACAGCCTCAATGGTGTAACATATGTGGAGGATCCTATGAAACCAAAGGATGCTACTTATTATATTCCAATTATCAATACCATGGCCAATGCCCAAAATCAAGGATCTCCCTACCAAGAGTCTCAACAAGTGTATATATAATAAGAATTTACACGCAAAACAGAACTAGGTGACATTTTTGTAAATATTTTGAAATTTATGTATAAGTGATAACACTATAAAATACACTTAGTAATATCATAGAGTACATCATGTGATGCTATAGGTGCACTGAAATTGTTTACCTGTTATAATTTATGGTTTAGTTTCCTTTTTTTTTTAATGGTTTAACTTTTTAAGCGGGATTCATAAATTCACTTTAGAGTTTAGTAGTTATGGTTTGTCTTTAAAGTGCACATAACAACAATATAAAGTACACCTAACAAACTAAATGTAAATTTTGACAATTAAATATTCAATTAGGATTTATTTTTTAATTTTTCCGCATTTTTATCTAGATATTCATTCAAGTATGCCTTCTAAACTACAAAATTAATTATATTAGAAGAAAGAGCATTGCAAATTTATAAAAATAACTCCAAAAAAATTAAAAGTTTTGCATATTTGATTGTCAAGATTATTATTGTTGTTGTTGTAATAGTAGCAAGGTTGCAAAAATTGCTAGGCGTTTCTCGGGTGCTTAGGGGGTGCCGATTAATCGGCGCCCTTTCAAAAAAAAAAATTTATTTAAGACTTGGTAATTATAATTTATTTAATACTTTAATAGTTAGTACTAAAATGTTAAAGATTTAAAATACAACACAAAGTCACAACTCACAAAGTATTAATATTATAGTACTTGATTTTAATTTTTTTATTATATTTTTTAGGTTTGGGACCAATTTGAACAATTTGGGATTATTTTACTAAAAACGGCGTCAATTTAAGCGAAATAACTCATTTTTTTTTTTAAAAAAAAAACATAAAAAAATAACTACTCGGTAGTCTGGCCGCCTAAATTCTAGGCGGTCGGCCACCGCCTAGGCACGATTTTTGCAACATTGAATAGTAGTAGTAGTTATTATTATTACTTTTTGTTGTGACAATTGAAATCAGTGCACTAAGAAGATTCCATGTGATAGATTCAACTAAAAAGAATATTGATAAAAATCAAGTTTGTGTTCTTTAGATTCCCAAAAAAAAATACGCCAAATCTGTCTTTTAACTCTAATAAAAAAAAAGATCATAAATAGATAACTAGTATATGTTATTAATAACTAATTAACTTCAACTAAAAAATGATATTGAACAATCTTCACAAACAGTCAAATTTGAAACTTTATAATTATTATATGAATTGTTTGATTAATTTGGCTCATCTACTCAAATTTGAACTCGAAATTGTGAAAACGTTGGCAAGGCAGGCCATTGTATATTTGTATCCCCAGATGGTAAGTTGTTACTAAAAAATTGCATTTTTCATAAAAAAAGAAAAAAGAAAAAAACTCTAAACTCCAAATCGCACCACCAGAAATGTCTTCGTCTCCGGCACCGTCCATCCCCGCCGTCCCGCTTCGTCCGTGGCCGCAATTTGCGGACACCGCAGCCCTAAGCATCCCGATCTCCTTCTCCGACGCCACCTACCGGATCAACCAAAACCTCCGGTATTTCGTTGGGAATTACGCCGTTCTCTTCTTCCTCGTCCTCCTCCTCAGCCTCATCTCCCGGCCCCTCACTCTCATTCTCTTCCTCGTCATTTCCGCTTCCTGGATCTTCCTCTATCTCTCCCGATCCGAGGCGCTAGAGCTATTCGGCTTCGACATCGACGATCGGATTATTCTAGGGCTTCTCAGTTTGATCACTCTCATCGCCTTGTTCGTGGCCGGAGTGTGGAGTAACGTCTTCATCTCAGTGGCTATCGGAGTTGTTTTAGCTTGCCTTCACGCCGCCATGAGGGCACCTGAGGATCAGGAGGCTTCGCCTTACGAGAATTTGCTATCTGTCGTGGATAGTCCCACCAGAGGTGATTATGCTAGGGTTTGAACTCCATTGCTTCAAATTGACTTTAGGAAACGTGAATTGGACTTGGCCTCTGGATAGTCAAATTGACTAATTGGCAATTGGGATAGCTTTAGGCAGATTGTGATTGAAAGTTGGTAGCGTTTACATATCTCAACTGCAAATGGTTACAATCCAAACTTGAATGAATGAAATGAATGTGGGTTTTGTGTGGATGCTGAACTGATTGTTGAATCTGTAGTTTTTTGACATGTATTTGCAAAAAAATATCTTCAAAATGTTTGAGTTTTTGGTGCATTTTATGCTGTGTGTGACTGTCAGTCTCCACTTCTTACATTCATTCATCATCTATGTGCTATTGCTCTTATGGTCTGGGCTGCTTTCTTATTGTTTTCCCAGTAATATTTGAAGTGCTGAACATAAGATTTAAATGTGATATTTTGAATACGCCATATGAATTTCAGCTAGGGTTCTGATGAGCAGGCAGTTTTAAACATGGTTTGCCACATTTTTCACTGGTTCTAGTTTTTGAGCCTTGCATTACACTATGCTCCATATCTGACATTCTTGATTTTCCTTTTGTTCAGTTAAAATTTTGTCTTGTTTTAGTTAGAATTGTTAGCCTAGCTACTCTGTACTGTGATTTGGGTTCAAAGTGATCTAATCTAGTCAGCTTCAACCCAAATCACCAGAGTGATTGTTAGTAACTAGCCTTAATCAGTTTTTATCACTTGAAATGGAGTTGGACTTGAAAAGAATAAACCTGTGTTCTTTCTTGGAAACTCGAGTCCAAATATATATACACCATAGTTGTTGTCGATGACTATCTGGATCTTGGCTTCTAAGCGCGTAGATGACTTGGGAAGTTGAGCTGTGCATAAGCTGGCATGTATGTGGTAGGCCAATATTATTCTGAGCATTTTCTGCTTCTCCTTTTATGTTCTGAGCATTTTCGAGCTTGAAAAAAACATGGCAGCTCGAGCTCCATTGGTAACACTAGATATTAGGGAACACTAGTCAAGGAGTTTTTGCAAGTTGTAGTATTTGTAGTATTAGATATTGTATGTGTTTGCTGTTTCTACATTGGACATTGGTAAGTGGTAACTATCTCATTTGTACATGTAACACATATGTAACATGAAGGGGGTGTTTGGTAAATAACTGTTAGCTAATAACTGTTTGCTGATTGAGTTAATGGGTTTGACTAGTTCATAACATTAGTTGATTATAGAGAAGTGTTTGGTAAATTAGTTGTTAGCTAATAGTTTTACATGCAAAATGACTTTCTCAAAAAGCTGAACGAAAAATTGCTTTGAGCAGCTTTTTGAATTTTAGCATTTTGGAGCAATAACGATGTTACAAAAAGCTAATTAGTCAAACACTCAGTCAAACAGTTAATAAGCTAATTATGTTTCCAAACCCTTCGTCCTGCTTCCGTCGTCGGCCTTGGCATTAGCCCAATGAGCTCTATTTTTATAGTGAACCCATAGAGCTTAGCATAGTCTATTTGTGTTAGCTATAAATAAATAAAGACCTCGAGTGCCTCGCGGGGTCCTGTACCCACGTCTCAAAATTTCCTTGCCTTTGCTACATGAAATAGATTTCTATCTGAGGTTATGTTCTTTTTTGCTCTTTTTCGGACTTCTTCTCATTCTTCTTTGGCACCTACAACAGAGATCGGAGGTATTTGGCCACCAAAGGGGATTGCGGTTTTAGACCCTGGGAGATCCCCAGGCAGTAATTTTTTTACCCAGAATTATAGTTGTGCTCTTTGAACGTGTTTCATTTTGCTTGGATGATTCTCGTATCTCAACCAATTTTCATTTGTAAAATTGTACCGAGGGCAGGGCATATGAAACTGAACCATATAAACATGATATGATTTAATTGCACAGTGAGTTCTGAAATCATTCACATGCATATGTGAGACTCCGACACAATTCTCTTCCGGGCAATACATATCACAAGTTTGAGGGGATGGGGCAAAAGAGAAACAGATCATGAGTTTAAATTCCATAGTTTATAAGTCATCTGATGGACAATTTTATAGTTCTTGTAAGTGCACGAATCAAATGTAATTTAGTATGCAAAGGAGGATCGAACTCACAAAGAATTGATACAACGAAAATGAATTTATAAAACAATCCATAAAATAAACCAAAGTACTCAAAGATTAAGATCAACTCCAACAAAATAGAATTAAATCAAAACTAAAAAGAAAGCTAAGCAAAAGAATTACTAGTAATCAACATAGCAACTTATCAATCAAAATAGAAAAGTTCAAGAACATTAATCAATAACCATTACCTGATTAGTATTATATTTTTCAATATAATTATTACAACATTTCTATCATAACTCTACACGTCTCATAGATAAAGATTTGTGAGACAATCTCTTAAGACTCGCTAATAATAATAATAATAATAATAATAATAATAATAATAATAATAGTAATAATAATAATAATAATAATAATAATAATAATAATAATAATAATAATAATAATAATAATAATAATAATAAAAGTTTATTCTTAAATAATTTGACAAAACTAATAAAAGTAGATACGTAATTAATTAAATATTGCCTACTAATTATAAAAAGTTATATAAATTAACAATAAATATTATACTCATCAAAATTCCCCAAACATATTACTTGCTTGTCCTCAAGTAATCACTTTATATGGAGAGTATCAACTTGAACTTTACTTGAGTAGCCTTTCAAACTTTTTGCCTCATCAACACAAAATTAGTATCAACTAAAAAAATGTATAACTTGACTAGAAATTTTATTTATAACAATAACATATTATTCACAAAGCAATTAAAACACATGTCCTAGTATCCTTTATGTGAGCTATGAAAAAAAAAATTGATAAAATCATTATGAAATTTCAGAACATACAACCTAAGCCATGTTTGAAAACAAACCATCATAATGCAAGTACAAGCACGAAAAAGACAAAGACCAAAGGCATTTATTAAAAATAAAATTCATAAATTTGTCTCTTATTATTTTTTATGGTGACAGTATGTAGGCTAGACAACATGGCATTATCTAAATTAATAACAATAAATATCATACTCATCATCATCCAAAACTTATGTATACAGTATAAACTCTGTAAGAATAATGTTGTGTATAAGAAATGTATTTTACAATTGTGTTCCTACCCAAGTAGGGTATACTACTAGTCTAAGATTTATGATCCAACAAGCCCTTTGTGGCGAGCATAAGATATAATGAGTATGAAAAGTACTGAACAAAAGATCCCAGTAACAATTACCACCTGTCACCATTACATCCACTCAGTAATCAAAACCAAAACCAAAACCAAAACACAAGATATAACAAGGCATATTGAAGAAAGAAAGCTTACCCATTTAAACATGTATCCATGATTGTCATTCCAAGAATACGGAATGTTCATCCCAAAGATTCCAGCCACCAAAGAATAGATGGACATAACAACAGTTCCCGAACTAAGAAATAGCTCTAGCTGCACCCACATATCATGGAACAACTCGTCATGAGTTCCACACACGCCATTCATATTCTTTATCAAAACATAAAAGAGATCAGTTTCGATGAATACCTGAATGAGCTGATTTCGATGATTGTCAAGCTGTCAAAAAAAAAAAAAAAAAAAAAGGCACAGTTAACTTATAGATCAGTTTGTAATTGCCTCTGAACATAGTTTTTGTAGTGTAAGTACCTGAATATTAATGTAATCTTCTGTATTATCAATATATTCACGCAGCTGCAAAATAAAAAGGCACACCAAAAATGTATCTTGTTGAGATGCTGCCTCAAGTTTTAATCTTTGCAAAAGTATGTCAAAACAAACTAAAGGTCATAAAAGCCAAACAATTTGTTCACAGCAAACTATCTACATTGACAACTATTACATTCTCAGTTTAGTAATCCCCCGACATAAGGGGGATAGTATGGAAAAAAAAATGGATTTAAGTTGATTTAAATAGAAGGGATAACAGTATCACCTGATATAAGCAAGATAATATGGAAAAATTAGATTTCGGTTTATCTAAATATAAAAGGGAGAACCATTCAACCACATAAAGAGAAAGAAGATACTTTTGAAAATCCGCATAAGGAAATGACCTTGCATATTCAGTGCAGATGGGTCCCATACATTTAGTATGTGCTGAATTATACATTGTACAGAAATTAATCTAATAAAAGGTAAGATGTATGCATCCTTGATAACTCTGAATGGACATATAGTTAATCAAATATATATTTTGCCCAGTATCATATATGGACAAGAAACAGAAAAAAGTAAAACAAAAATCAATTTTCACTTACTGTGTTCAGTTTATTTAACGTGCCATCGATTTGCATGAAGTAAGCCTGCAATAGAGTTAATTAACTTTTCAGTAGAGAAATACCACAGTTTTTTTTTTTTTTTTTGGAGAAAGGAAAGGAAAGGATATGTATGTGCGTCTATTTTTCATAAATACAAAAAATTGTACATAACTAAGATATTGGGATTTACATTCAAGAACAAATTGAAACTATTGAAACATTTAGAACAAAATGAAACCTAACTTAAACATTTAGAAATTAGAATCCTTACCTCTAGTAACATCTCAAGGTCTTCAACATCATTCTCATCCCCTCGGACAGTTGCTACACTTGCCCTACTCGCTCTAGATATCTTTGAGCCAATTGTAGGTGAAGCGAGAAACCAACTGGCTGATGCACTTGCAGGTGAAGATGCGCCAGCTAATTTTCTAGACAAATAAAGGTCAGCCATATCATCATCATCATCCAAGAGTTGTTCAAGTTCATCCCTCACCTACAATCAAGCAGAGAACAAAACTAGTAGTGATGAATGAGGTCTCCTGTAAGCCATCAAAAAACTTAAAAAAGCATTTGGGTCCTTCAATTATTGGTTACTAGTCAATTTAGTGCCTCACTATCACACAAACACAAATATCATTCCTAATTATTCCACGTCATTGCCAAATTGATCACTCAGTTGTCACCATATTGGTCTCTCACTAGGATTTCATGTTCGTGCCGAGGGACCAATTTTGCAATGATTTGAAACAAGGGATGATTCGCATGATAGCATGGGAACGAAGTGACAAAAAATGTTTTTTTTCCAAATTAAAGAAAGAAAAAAGATTAAACCAAAATAATGATTTTTTAAACTATATAAGTTCAATTAAAGCAATCTAAGTATTACTTACTCTCTTAGCAAAGTCAAGACTGAGACACCTAGAAACTAATAAATACGGTTCTCTCTTCCATGAACAAAAAGTCTTTTGCAGCAAGGCAAATCGGTTTTAGCTTGAAAACCATTGCTGAAGAAGGATAACTAGAATACTAAGATTACCTAAGCACACTTACATGCACATTTGGAAGAAAGTGGGATATCACATTTTATTTATTGGCCATGTAACCCATGTTTAAAACCATTCCATTATGCAGATACAAGAATCAGGGATACAATTATCTATAAAGATCTCTTTTTCAGAATCATAAATATGTAGCTGATTTTAAAATCCTACACATTTGTTTTCATTCGATATCCAATTGTTATGGAATTACCTTTTGCACACGACCAGTCAACCTTGTCATTTGACTCTTTAGCTTCCGAACTCGGTCCAAATTTTTGCTGCTAATCTGCAAGAGTTACAACATTGTGAACAATAATACTTGTGAAAAACAAAACCAAAAAGAAAAAAGGATGAGTGGTTGCAAATACTGTTTGCCACGTGAACTAAAAAGGTGCTGCTACATAATAAACTTAAAGGGTTGGATAAAGAATTTATACACAAGATGTGACTAAGAAACTTATAAAAATATGATCCAGTATGTTAATGAAAGTCTAGTGGCCAATAATAAACCCCAAAGCTTGATGACTAACTCCTCTAACCACCCATATGGGTCACATAGCCCATTCTTCCTATCAGCACCAAGATTAGAGGATTGTGCAAAGAGAGAAAACCATTAAAAAAAAAAATTAAAAAGTTCTAAAAAGTAGAAAACATGACAAATTGACAACCAAATAGAGCTTGTATCATACACTGTAAAGAACAGAATAAAAGTAAATACGAAGAGGGTTAGATCTTCGAATGATGGGGTGTTTCCCAGATACAGAAAATTCTTCAAGATATTCATCAAAACCAAAAGTAATGAATCTACATAGACAGCATAGGTGTCCAAAAAATACAAGCAAAATTAATTCTATTCACTCACAAATTCTAATAAGACTTCAAATTAGGGAACACTTCTAGTACCTACAGTTGCAATGTGCATTTGGTATACTGTAAACTCTGGCTCACAGAATCACACGGCTATGTGAATCTTAATGAACATTATTCTCAATTACAATGAATATTTACTTCAAGGGAAATGAACATTCCAAGACAAACATTCATTGTATTTGTAATGAACATTTATCACACTAATGCTTAACATTTGCTTTGGGCTCACCATGCTCTGTAAGCCAGGGCTCACAATATATTTTGCATCTACTATGATGCTAAAACAAAGGAAGCTGTTGCAGAAAACACATATTTAAGTTTTAAAAGAAAGAAGAAAAAGAAAACAGAGTAAAAAACGATGCTGTTAAACTAAAGCCATTCAACTCTTGGTTAAAAGCAGACACGACAATATACACACAAGTCATGCGCATGTCAAGAGAGAGCACAACAGTCATTTGTTCAATAATCATACTAAAGAAAACATTAATATTAATGTGCACCTTGGAGGTAAGCATATCCAGTGCTGGGTAAACATCAGTCTCCAAATCTATTGTCCGTGCAGCAAGGAAACTGCAGATGGCTTCCAAAGCAATCTCCAAGGCCCTGAACTCAAATGGAGATTCTGCATAACATCAAGCAGAAATACAATTAAACATTACGTGAAAATCCATAATTAAAGTTATTAAAGTTGAACAACTCATCATTTTATCAGATAAAATAGTCAAAAATGACAAGGGTGCAAGGGATACCATCTTCTTCAGCTGTTTCAACATCTTGCTGAGCACCGGAATCTTTGCCTTCCCCTTGATCTTCATGATTTGCATTTACTGGCTTCAGTCGTCTCCTGAGTTCCTCAACAACAGGAGTAACATTTTCATCAAATGGATCTCGTAGAAGTACCTGTCCAGCCCAATAAAGAAGTAACCTACTATTGGCATATACTTTTTATTCATAAGTTTCAATGAGGCAGGCTTCACTTTGACATAAATTTAAAACAGTGAACATAAAACGTATGAGGGCAACCGCAGCCAAGTTGGTCAGACTATTGACTTGGTATAATACAAGTTCAACTCCGTGCAGGAGTGGCCTATTGGCCTTCTTGGTTTGAGTCGGTCACCTATGGGCAAGCTAAGTTGGTTTACCTCCTTTGCCGGCTAGGATCACAAGGCAAGGCAGGGTAGGGTTTAGTGGCTGTGTGTCTCCCTAGCCATCCAAAATAAAGAATAAAACTAAACAAATGGAAGATCAGATCAAAGGGTCATAAAGTTTATGGATTTCAGTCTGGGTGGGTTATAATGAAGCCCCACTCTTTGCAATCCCAACTAAAATTGCTCTATAGTCATTACTAACAAGCATAAATCTTACAATAACAATATACCATGTAAAAACCTCACAGGGCTGCAAAGTGGGTAAAAGATTTCTTTTATATATATAAAAGGAATAATACCTCTTCGGATGTAATAATAGCCTTGATATGCTGCCCTTACCAAAAAAAAAATAAAAAATTTACATATCAGTAACCTAAATAGTAATAGTAATACTACTAAAAATCATCCAATTTAGCTACAATTACTGAATTTCAAACATTGAAATGTGCCCTAAATTCAAAATTCCACATTCCCAGTAAAAGAATAAAAGAAAGAGACCTCTAAATTGAGAACGATGGCGCGTTCACGGCCGAGTATAGTGGAGGGGTAGGAGAGAAGGGGATCAAGAATGCGGAGATCACGAGCGTGAATTTGCACGCGGTGCATAATAGCATACTTGTCGACATCAAGAACAATCTCCTGACCCGAAGCGTCCATGAGCAGCCAGCTCCGCGACCCGGCGCCTTTCTTCTTGGGATCCGCCGGCACCAAGTACCCGCCCTCTCGTCCCAGCATCATCACTAACCATCCCAGAGAAAACAGAGCCTCCTCAATCCAATTCAATCCAACTCTACTTTATTATACGATGATGATTATCCCTACCCTATACCCTACCCTAGGCGTGATGTATGTGCAGTTGGTGAGAGATACAAAGAAACCCTAACGGACGGAGAGAAAAGGGATCACATGGCGATGCATAATCAAATAGAAACATATAATTGTATGTATAGACGGGAGAGCAGGTGGAGCTTTCTGTACTTTAGCATCCACGCCTCACACTTCCCCCTTTCTCAATATGTATTCTAATTCTTTTCTGCTACTTAGCTGCATTTACCCAAACTACCGCCGGCATCTTCTTTTTTTTTTTTTTTTTTTGAAATAAAGTTCAAATTGGCAACTAAATGTAACCTGAAAATACAATTAAATCATTGAACGAAAAAGAAAATGCAATTAGACCGTTGTTGGTAACATACTATTCGATGAAATTGCATACATTTAGAGTGTTCAGTGATCTAATTACACATTTTTAAAGTGTTCAGTGACCTAATTGCACTCTTTTTTTGTTCAATAGCCTAATTACATTTTCAAGTTAAGTTCAAGGTCCAATGTGTTCCTTTTTTTTTCCTATTCACAATTTATCAAAAAAAACAAAAAACCAATTTAACTCTTTACTCTTATTTAAATAGTTATTAGCCGATTGGATTAGTGAATTTGATTAATATTAGTTGATTGTAAAAAAAATGTTAGATAAATTAATTGTTAGTTGATAGCGAATTACATATAAAATAATTTTATCAAAATATTAATTGAAAAATTTATTCTGAGCACCTTTTTGAAATTTTGGGTCTATGGACTTTTTTAAAGTTAAAGTTATATATGGTAGATGTGAAATGTGTTTTTATTATTATTATTAATGATACTTCAAAATAATTTATTTGATAATTCTATTTTTTTTAAACTAACTTACGTGCTAGCTTAACAACTCCCATAAAATAAGTTAGGATTAGAAAAAGTGACGCGCGCTTGTTGTCTAACTAAATTTTTAGCTTAAATTAACTCGCCTAATTGCAAAATAGTATATTAGTAACTAACCGACCCCACCCAAGTTGACGGATCTATTATCAGAGATTAATTAATGGAATTAGGCTAAATTATTATGGACTAGAATTTTATATATATCAAGGTTGAAAAAATCGCTACGCGCCTGGGGACCTCCTAAGGCGCCTAGAGCGATTAATCGACGCCTAGAGCGCCTAGGCGGGCGCCTAAGTGGCCGACCGCTTAGCGCCTAGGCCCGATTTTTGCAACATTGATATATATATATATATAGAGGTCATATGGGATGGTTTACGTGCGAAACTTCTCCCAAGTAAAAAAATGGAGTGAGATCTAAGCTATTGATATAATCTAGATCAACGGTTGAAACTGAAGGAAAATATTTTTTTAAAAAACGTCCTTGCTAGCAACATAGATGCAAATGATCAAGTGTCTCGAATTGACGCACCTTAAACTTCGAACTTATGCACCTTAAATTTTAAACATACGCACCTTAAGCTATAAACTTACGCGCATCTTAATTAGTTATAAACTTAAGCACCTTAAGCTTTAAACTTAGGAACCTAAAGCTATAAACTTACAAACCTTAAGCTTCAAACTTATGCACTTAAGCTGAAAAATAATGCACCTTAAGCTTTAAACATGCGCATCTTCAGAGTTAAACTGATGCACCTTAAACTAGAAAGAGACGCACTTTAAACTTTAAACATATGCATCTTAAGCTATAAACTTACGCACCTTAAACTTTAAACTTAGACACCTAGCGCTATAAACTTACATACCTTAAGCTATAAACTTACGCACCTTAAGCTTTGAAGTTACGCGCCTTAAGCTTTAAACTTACGCACCTTAAGCTTTAAACTTACGCACCTTAAACTATGACCTTACGCAAAATGACTATATGCCATTGCGTTATTTTTAATTGTTCTTCATTCTAAGTTGTTGATTTTGAAGGCTGTGATAATGCACACATTTCACCTGGGAGAACCTTCACACCTAATCCCTTGTCTATATAGGGTCAAGTTCCTGTGCGATTAGTGCTTCCCGTGCGGTCACTCACCATTAGGTACGCATAAATGTACCACAAAGTGTTCAGATATGCATCATTAGATGTGGTGCATTTTTTGGTGTGTAGTGTGTTTTGTGGTGCATTGATGCATTTTATTGTGTTGCATTTATGCATTATTTTATTGATGGTGAACCCACACCGGCCGCATTTGAACAAGTATGTGTGTCGCGCGCACACTTGAAGACACAAATAAATGTGCACTTGAAGACACAAATAAAGATGTGCAATCAAATGAATTTATGGTACCAAAAAGAGAAGTTATTTAACTTAAGTGTTATTGAAGCAATTACCCTTACAGTTCGTTTGTAAATCTCACAAATTTCATTAGAAATTTAGTTATACGTTTCTGAAAAGAATGCAAACGATATAACAAATACTGACCCATAATTGTGCACTTGAAGGCACAAAAATGTGCATTTGAAGGCTAAAGTTTTGCACTAGAAGGCAAAAAAGATATGCAATCGATGCAATTTATGGTACCAATTAAAAATGAAAGTTATTGAACTTAAGTGTTATTGAAGTAATTAATATTACAAATCGTTTGTAGATCTCACAAATTTCATTAGAAATTTACTTATACGTTATTGAAAAGAAGGCAAAACATATAATAAACATTGACACATAAATATGAACTTGAACACAGAGAAATGTGCACTTGAAGGCTAAAATGGTGCACTTAAATGCAGTAATTAAGATGTGCACTCCAAAGGAGAAACTATGCACCGAGACAAAACATATGTACTCGAAGAAGGGGAAATATGCACTCGAAGAAGAAAAATGTGCACTTGAAGAAAGAAAAATGTGCACTCATAGACAAAGAACATCTGAACTAACTTACACAAATTTACCATATAACGCGCCGCCACGTTTTCTTTTAATTGTCTCCGGCCATATTGAACCATTGATCTGGACTGGATTAATGGATAATATTAAACCCTATTTTTTTATCAAAAAAAAAATTTCGCATATGATATGTAATATATATATATATATATATATATATATATATATATATATATATATAGAGAGAGAGAGAGAGAGAGAGAGAGAGTATAATTTAATGGTAAATTATATTTCTTTTTAAATAAAAAGATCTAAATTTCTAATCATTGTCAAAAAGCTTGATCATCATTAATTTCTTGATAGCAACTTTGAATTAATTTTAAGTATATATATCTAATTGATTGATCGTTGGGAGGAATTGAATAAAGTAATCGTGCAATTATATTAATTGCTCAAGATATTACAAAGGATGTTATGAGAAGACAAAGTGTATCCTAAATGAGGACAAATGACTTGCTTTTATACTTGACTTCCTCTGGTAACTATTCTATGCGAATCGGGCGCCACTCGCTCAGCGCGGACAGTTACGACCCCTCTTGACCACATTTGTAATTGCCTTGGTCGTGCCCATGAAGGGCGGCCCACCCAACCCGACCCCTTGAGCTCAGATCGACTTGTCTGTGGGCGGCCTAGTCTGAGTTGGGTTCGACTTAGCACTTTCTCTCGAGTTAGTTCGTTCTGAACTTGCCTCTAATATATTCATCAAGATGTTCTATTTCAATGAAAAGTTGTTTATATAAATAATTGGACGGTATATTTATATTTTATATATTAAATTAGAATTCCACATTATGAATATGTAGTGGGGTCCGGGAGAGCTGAGTAGCTTAGGGCGGTGGCATTTAATGTGCTGTTTGGTAC